ATAGTGTGGGTGATGTATAGTGTGTGGGTGATGTTTAGTGTGTGGGTGATGTATAGTGTGGGTGATGTATAGTGTGGGTGATGTATAGTGTGGGTGATGTATAGTGTGGCTGATGTTTAGTGTGGCTGATGTATAGTGTGGGTGATGTATAGTGTGTGGGTGATGTATAGTGTGGGTGATGTATAGTGTGGCTGATGTATAGTGTGGGTGATGTATAGTGTGTGGCTGATGTATAGTGTGGCTGATGTATAGTGTGTGGGTGATGTATAGTGTGGCTGATGTTTAGTGTGGCTGATGTTTAGTGTGGCTGATGTTTAGTGTGGCTGATGTTTAGTGTGGCTGATGTATAGTGTGTGGGTGATGTATAGTGTGGGTGATGTATAGTGTGGCTGATGTATAGTGTGGGTGATGTATAGTGTGGGTGATGTATAGTGTGGCAGATGTTTAGTGTGGCTGATGTATAGTGTGGCTTATGTATAGTGTGGTTGATGTTTAGTGTGGCTGATGTTTAGTGTGTGGGTGATGTTTAGTGTGGGTGATGTTTAGTGTGGCTGATGTTTAGTGTGGGTGATGTATAGTGTGGCTGATGTTTACTGTGGGTGATGTATAGTGTGGGTGATGTTTAGTGTGGCTGATGTTTAGTGTGGCTGATGTTTAGTGTGGCTGATGTATTTAGTGTGGCTGATGTTTAGTGTGGGTGATGTTTAGTGTGTGGCTGATGTATAGTGTGGCTGATGTATTGTGTGTGGCTGATGTTTAGTGTTGGTGATGTATAGTGTGGCTGATGTTTAGTGTTGGTGATGTATAGTGTTGGTGATGTATAGTGTGGCTGATGTTCAGTGTGGGTGATGTATAATGTATGGGTGATATTTAGTGTGGATAATGTTTAGTGTGGGTTACGTGGTGGGTATGGGTGTATTGTGGGTGGGGTTGTGAGGAGAGTGTGATAAGATGGTGTATTGAGTACACCCGACTTATCTCTCTCTACATCTAGGGACTTGTATCATAGCAAGTGTACCGAGTGTATTTATTTAACTAGTTTTTATTTTTATTTGTAACTTTTATGTCATGGCACAGCAAGGTTTATGATGTCTGCAAGTTTTGGTGGAGTATTTTGTGTTGGTTATACTTCACACACGCAGCAGCAGTTAGAGTACCTGGATATCTTCTTTTTCTGCATGTTTATTCACCTATTCACCTAGTTGTGTTTGCGGGGGTTGAGCTTTGCTCTTTCGGCCCGCCTCTTAACTGTCAGTCAACTGTTTACTAACTACTTTTTTTCCCACACCACACACACCCCAGAAAGCAGCCCGTGACAGCTGAGTAACTCCCAGGTACCTATTTACTGCTAGGTAACAGGGGCATTCAGGGTGGAAGCAACTTTGCCCATTTGTTTCAGCCTGGTGCGGGAATCGAACCCACGCCACAGAATTACGAGTCCTGCGCGCTATCCACCAGGCCCTGGTTTGTGTGTGTGTGTGTGTTTACTATTCGTATTACACATGTTTTTAAGCATAACCCAAAGCAAACAATGATAAAGGTTTTCTGAAATAAACTATAAAACAATATACATAATCTTTTTTACCAAAAATATTATTATAATTAATTTATTATTATTATTATTTGTACCGTTATCCTAGAACACAATAATAATAATAATAAATGATAAATAATAATAATAATATTAATAATAATAATAATAATTATTATTATTATTATTATTATTAATTAATAATATTATTCGGTCCGTCGTGGACCGTTATCAAGTCGGGTCACCCGACCTGATAACGGTCCAAGACGGACCGAAACGTCGTCGTTTCTTAATTTTTCTGATGAGTAGTTTGGTCACCATATGAGACCTTTTATTCACTAATATCATTATTAATTTCGTTGACCTTAACGCTTGCGGCAGCCCAGTGAAAAATCTATCACCAACAAATTATTAGCAACTCAAAGTTTGAACACCAAGTTTACAAACCAGAAGTGATTGTGCTCTCACCTCTGCTCTTGAAGCTATGAACGGAGGTGGCTTCCACAACCTGTGTTTGAAGGTCGTTCTGTGCGTTTACAATCCTCACTGAATATCAGTTCATTCTGGCCTCTCTAGAAATCATTTTAGAATTTCAACCTCTACCCCCAACCTTCTGCGTACTCTGAATAGGAAGTTATTTTTCAATTTAGTTCCTCTAATTCCTGGAGTATCTGGTCATCTCTCTCTTCTTGTGTCGTTGTTTTGTGCTGCTTTAATGTGTGTTTGAAGCTCAGCTTTTTTATCTTTGGGACTAATCAGGGAAGTAAATTTCTCGACTTTCTCTTTTTCTTCTGCTTCAAGAAGTGACAATTTCACGCCGGTGTTGATTCTTCCAGCTTTGGCTTGACACACGCTGCTCATATGGAGGAGAATGATTCCTTATTTAGATTTCTAAATACCATCCTCCAATTTCACATAAGATGTTGATGTTATTCTCTTTACGTGGGCCTTTGGTGTTGGAGCTGCCATTATACCCACTACCAGAGCCTCTTATTCTGGCCCCTGCAGCTCTCTTTCCCATACTCTAGTGTCCTTCTGGAGCTCTGTCTCTGCTCTCAGTTATAAAGATTTAAATCTAGTTGTCATCTGTCTGCCATAAATTGAACATTTCACTGTTGAAGAGACCACGAAGTCCTGACAACGATGTTGAAAATCACCAATATGAGAATAGTCTTTATACATATGACAACGGCTTTATCAAGTCTGATAAATTAGTGTTTGGTAGTGAGACTTTATCTACAATTTATGTCAACCCTAAGTTTGGTGATTTTCTGCATTTACAACAAATCCAGTGATAAACGATGGCAACGAGGTAGTTGTAAGTCGTAACATCACATTAGCCGATGAAGTACATAACAATCGATGATCAGCTGATGGACAAAACAGCAACAAAACATCAGCATCATAACTGATGCCCGGGTGATGAACCATAACTGATGCCCGGGTGATGAACCATAACTGATGCCCAGGTGATGAACCATAACTGATGCCCGGGTGATGAACCATAACTGATGCCCAGGTGATGAACCATAGCTGATGCCCAGGTGATGAACCATAACTGATGCCCAGGTGATGAACCATAACTGATGCCCGGGTGATGAACCATAACTGATGCCCGGGTGATGAACCATAGCTGATGCCCAGGTGATGAACCATAGCTGATGCCCAGGTGATGAACCATAACTGATGCCCAGGTGATGAACCATAACTGATGCCCAGGTGATGAACCATAACTGATGCCCAGGTGATGAACCGTAACTGATGCCCAGGTGATGAACCGTAACTGATGCCCAGGTGATGAACCGTAACTGATGCCCAGGTGATGAACCATAACTGATGTCCAGGTGATGAACCGTAACTGATGCCCAGGTGATGAACCGTAACTGATGCCCAGGTGATGAACCGTAACTGATGCCCAGGTGATGAACCGTAACTGATGCCCAGGTGATGAACCATAACTGATGTCCAGGTGATGAACCGTAACTGATGCCCAGGTGATGAACCGTAATTGATGCCCAGGTGATGAACCGTAACTGATGCCCAGGTGATGAACCGAAAATGATGCCCAGGTGATGAACAATTAACTAATGCCCGGGTGATGAACCATAACAATGGATGATCAGCTGACTGACCATAACAACTGGTCACCTAGCTGATCGTACCTGACTAGCTGACTGATCGTAACTGATCACCTGACGAACCATAACAACTATTTAGCTAACGAACCGTACCAATTGATCAGCTGATCCACCACAACAGCGGACTGTCGGACGCCTCCAGCCGTGTGACCTAAAGACCGAATGACCGTTACATCGGCCGGATTATCAAGGATTCAGGAAGTAATTGCAACCTGCAGATTGCATAACCTATACTATCAAAGTATCGAGATTTAATTACTCAGTTTAGGTTAATGGCTATATATGCCTCAGCTTGTTAGCGGTATATATATACATACATATATATATATATATATATATATATATATATATATATATATATATATATATATATATATATATATATATATATACACACACACACACACACACACACACACACACACACACACACACACACACACACACACAAACACACACACACACACACACACACACACACACACACACACACACACTCAATAATTTTCTGGTTGTGTCCTTCCCTGCTGGTGGTATAGCTCAGTGTGGAGGGGAAGAAGAGGGAGGAAGCGACCACAACCCGCAAAGTTTGGACAGAAGGCAAACACGGAAGGAGCTTAGAAAGAATTCTCGGTCTCCTTGATGGTGAGGTGTGGGAGGTGGTGGGGATCAGGCGGGAACATGAGCATTCCTTCACTCTCTACCACTCTCCTTCACTCTCTACCACTCTTCTTCCCCTCTCTCCCACTCCCCTTTACTTTCTCCCATTCTACCTTCTCTACATTCTCCTATACTCTCTGGCATCTCCTTCCCTCCCTTCACTATTCTCACCTTCAGGGGTGAGGATGGGTCGTCAGGCCTCTCTGTGGACTCTGGGATTAGTCAACATTCCCTGTAGTCTCTAAGATACTGCAAGCAAGCACGTACACCTCTCTCTCTCTCTCTCTCTCTCTCTCTCTCTCTCTCTCTCTCTCTCTCTCTCTCTCTCTCTCTCTCTCTCTCTCTCTCTCTCTCTCATATTACTAATTCAATTTCACCCTTTTCAATCGTGTATTTCTCCTGTTCTTTCTCCCCTTCGCAATTCTTTGTAACCATTTCTGGCACAGTGTGGCCAAGTCAAAACAAGGGGCTTACGTCACCAGTGAGTGTACGTGTGTACTCACCTAGTACTGGGTGTGCACTGAGTATGCGTTACTATTCGCCTTCATACTTTCAACGTGAGTATGAACTCCTGAGCTGGTGATACTTTGACAAAGAGTATTGGGAAGACGGGACACTACGAGCATACTACTCTTCTTGTAACTACACTTAAGTACACTTTGGTAAATTATATATAAACACACACGTGCATAATTACCCTTCCATCTATTCCATCAATTATTTCCATACTCTGCCCCACGAAACTCTCCAAACCTGTCGTACTCTGTCGTATGTCGTGCTCTGCGTAGCACGACATACAGACCAACAAGTGACCAGCTCCGAGAGGGTCAGGTTACCTTCTCTGTGTGTCGTCGGGTCAGGTTAGGTCATCCAAGACCCTTTCAGGAATATTTGGATTCCTGCCGGGCGTGTGTATGAGAGCCCGGTGTATATCTCCCAGGCGCGTCTGTATGTGATATACATTTACAGTATGTTCCTCCCGGACGTACGTGTGTATGAGAGGCCAAATTATCGGTGTTTCGTGGGTTCTCTAAGTTTATTAAGTCTTTAAAAACTTACTTTCTTTCGTGTATTTAATGTTTAAAACAAGCGATTGATGCCTATGTAAATTTAGTAGTTGAAATAAAACTTTGTTTAATTAATGTAAGTTAACGTAAGCTAACGCAATCCAACGGAAAAAGCGATGCTTCGCATCCTCAAGTGATACATGGCAACACTCAGGAAGGTTATCATGGCAACACTCAGGAAGGTTATCATGGCAACACTCAGGAAGGTTATCATGGCAACACTCAGGAAGGTTATCATGGCAACACTCAGGAAGGTTATCATGGCAACACTCAGGAAGGTTACCATGGCAACACTCAGGAAGGTTATCATGGCAACACTCAGGAAGGTTATCATGGCAACACTCAGGAAGGTTATCATGGCAACACTCAGGAAGGTTATCATGGCAACACTCAGGAATTTTATCATGGCAACACTCAGGAAGGTTATCATGGCAACACTCAGGAAGGTTATCATGGCAACACTCAGGAAGGTTATCATGGCAACACTCAGGAAGGTTATCATGGCAACACTCAGGAAGGTTATCATGGCAACACTCAGGAAGGTTATCATGGCAACACTCAGGAAGGTTATCATGGCAACACTCAGGAAGGTTATCATGGCAACACTCAGGAAGGTTATCATGGCAACACTCAGGAAGGTTATCATGGCAACACTCAGGAAGGTTATCATGGCAACACTCAGGAAGGTTATCATGGCAACACTCAGGAAGGTTATCATGGCAACACTCAGGAAGGTTATCATGGCAACACTCAGGAAGGTTATCATGGCAACACTCAGGAAGGTTATCATGGTAACACTCAGGAAGGTTATCATGGCAACACTCAGGAAGGTTATCATGGCAACACTCAGGAAGGTTATCAACAAAATGAAGGAGAAAAATGGTGGACAACACACACCGTAATCCCCTGCACAGAGCAGGTGAGCGTGACGATGCTTGGGCCACTACCTACACCTTTAAAAGTCTTCCTCAGGCCACATAATAAATTAAATAATAGATATGACGATAGAGCAAGGCGCCTTGACCTCATGCTTCACCAGCAGGATGACTGTTACACGCTTTTCACATTTTGACCTACAGAATGTGACCTACATTCTGCCCTATATAAAGGCAAAGCTCCGTCTCCTGGAGAGGATGGAACTACTTTCGGCATATTGCAAATGCTTCTGTCAGTGCCTGGAAATCCCCTTGTTTGAATTCTATAATATGAGCTTTGTAACTGGGGAGCTTCCGAAGTCTAGGACCAACAGCCTTTTATTCACATTCCTAAATTTAACCAGCAGAGTGATTTTCGCCCAATCTCCCTCATTAGATCTAAATCTAAATCGGATGGTTCTAAATCGTCTCCTTCATAGGATTAGTAACTTGTCGTCGTCTCAGGTATATGGCTTCACGCATGGAAGGAGTGTACATCACTGTATTACCTCAGTCTTCACCCTGCATATTGAAAGGTCATGTACCACTTTCCCAGATCTTTAGTCAGCCTTTGACATTGTTAACCGATGAGTCAGTCTGAGTGAATTTTCTAAATGGAATGTTGGGAAATGGCTTCTACGATGGAGAAGAGGCTATGTATCCAACAGGAAGTCATCTCTACTGTTTCAAGGACATAGGAGTGTTACTAGAGATTGTGAACTGGGCACTCCACAGGGAGGTGTACTCAGTCCTACTCAGTTCAATATGTTCATCAATGCGCTCCTTGAACGTAGTGACAAAAAGGTCCAGCGAATACATCAATAGCTATGCGGATGATATACTCGTCCATACCAATGGGTGCACCAACACCCAGAATGTTCTGAACGCTGTACTGAACACATTTCAGGAACTAAGCTTAGTCATCTAAGTGGAAAAAAACTAAGATCCAGAACCGACGCCTACCCAGACGAGGTGGGAGGCTCTTTGCTGACTATATAACCAGATACAAATACCTTGGTCTTGAGATTCCACTATACCGCCATATTGTAACTAGATTCAGTCATCAATGTAAAGAGAGGGTCCGTGCTCTCAAGGCTGTGCCGGGTTATGACCCCAGCTATGGCGCAAATGGTAGAGCTACCAAACTAATGTACCTCTCATATATTTGATCTTTGATCGTCTATGCAGCA